AAATTAACAAAGCATCCTTTATGGGATTCTTTGCAACTGCTTTGGGAAAATGAATAAAAGCAGTTGCACAAACTGCAGCAACTGGTCATCCGGGAAAAGATTTTTAATCTGACCTTGAAATTGAGCAAACACAATTGCTCAAGAACCACTACTTTAGAATAATCATTCAATTTGCTGCTTAGTTTGATGAACATTGATTATAGCCAGTTCCTTGCCAAAATATTTCCTAGAATCTATCTTGCTCTTCTGTGCTAAGTGTGCTACTGCTTCAAAATAAGGATTTAATACCTTAACTGATAATACAGGAAAGTGCATCCATACGAGTGGCTTGTTTTGCCCTAAAACCACTGTAGGAGCTAGTTTTGTGGGTAAAATACACACCTGTCATGCTTGGCTGTAATTAATATAATACACATGTTGTTCTTGCATAGCCTGCTCTACCTGGGAGAGAACCTGTCTGGCAGCTTCTCAAAGCTGTCTGCTGGAGTTTGGATGACTATTTCCTCTAAGGATTTTACTTAGAGGCTCAAGGTCTCTTTTAGGACACCTTAGATAAGGTCTCAGCTGTTGTATATTTCCTAATAACTTTCGAATGTCATTAATTGTCTTTAAACCATCCTTTCTGATTTCTACATTTTGAGACTTAATTTCTTTGCGGTATAACACGACCTAAATACTGGAAAAGTGGGTGCCTCTGCACTTTCTCTGGAGTAATAACTAGCCCTACATGGCTAAGGCTCTGTTGTAGTAGTTCATTCATCCCAAGTAAAACTCCTTCATCTCTATGGGCAACCAAGATATCATACATATAATGGTCAAAATGTGGAGATTAATCTCTGACATTTTGTATAGCCTGAGTTATGAACTTCTGGCATAAGGCAGCACTGTGCAATAACCTGGGGTAAGGTGCTCTACATTGACTCTCTGAAATTATCTGAGGGGATACTAAAAGCAAATCTTTGGCAATCTTGTGGCACCAAAGGGATACTATGAAAACAATCTTCTAAGTCTAAAATAATTTTATGGGTGCCTTTTGGTATTGTTTTAGGAGAAGGTAGCCCTGGTTATAATGCTCCCATCACCTGCATGGTTCCATTAACCTCCCTTAAATCCTGAATCAATCTCCACTTTCCTGATTTCTTTTTTAAAACAAAAATTGGAGAATTCCATGGTGAATTAGATGCTGTAATGTGTCCATTATTCAGATGTTTCTGTGCTAACTGTTGGGCAGCTTGTTATTTTTCTTCTGTTGGAGGTCACTGATTTATCCATACAGGCTCATTATTTCTCAGAATATTGGGTCTGCATGGAGTGCAGATTTTTCAGTGATCTCTCCTAAAAATATCCCAATCCTGCCCTAAGAGGTCTACCATTGGTATGATAGTATCAATCCTTCCTTTATTTTCCTTGCCTAGACTTTGATTAGGCAATAATTCTTATTGAAAAAGTTGATTAGTAACAGCTGTGCTGGGGGAATATAAATATACCCCTATTCTGGACATAATATCTCAGCCCCATAAATTTATAGGTAAATGAGGAATAATATAGGGCTGGAAAGTTTCTTCTTGGCCCTCTCCAGTGCAGCTCATTACTGTTTGTTCAGGATTTCAAGTCTGGCCAATTCCTTGTAGTTGTGTAATAGTCTCTGTCTTTGGACACTTAGAAGGCCACTGGCTAGCAGTTATAACCAAAATATCCATGCCTATATATAGAAGACCAGAAAATCTTTTTCCATTTATAAACAATGTGAGTTCTGCTCTCTGAGTCCCTGTGGCTCGTAGACAATGGGCGTCTGATGAACCAAATTCACCCTTTCCTCTCTTATCTTTCTTAATCTGATTTTTGGTTTGCACATCAAGTAGTAAAACTAATTGTGCAAGCCTCTGATCTGCTTTTATTACAGAAACTCAACTTGGTGAGTGAGTCATCACCCTGATCACTCCCTCAAAGTCAGCATCAATGACTCCAGGAGCAACAATAATTCCTTGCAGAATGGTGCTACTTCCTAGTAACAGCCCTACAATGTCCTTTGGTAAGGTCCCATAAACACCAGTAGGAGAGCTTGCCTCCCCACTTTGGGTGTCCGAACCATGCATATGGAAGAACTGAGGTCAAGCCCTGCACTTCCTGTGATTGCTCTAAAAAGTCCTAAATGGATTTCCTTATGGGAGAACAAGTTGCTGAATTGCCCCATAATTAATTCTGTCTCAGGGCCTGAGACTAGCCCCAGTAGATGTCTGGTTCCCAAAAGGGGATTTCCTAGGTCATCTCATTTTGATCTGCACTCACTAGTTCAATGTTTTCCTCTCCTGCATCTCCTGTATATTCTTGGTTCTCTTCTTGTCCTCAGGCTTACTCTCCTATCGGGACATTGTCTTACCTAATGCCCCATAAGACCACATCCACAACAGCTTCCAGGAAGTCCTGTAGCTCGCATTCTCCCTGGGCCTAGATCTCTCTGCTAGGATAAGCAGAGAAAGAGTTGTCTTTCTCTGCAAGGCAGCAGCTATGGCCATTCCCTGTGTATATGATTGGCCAATATCTGTGCAAATTCACATATAATCTGTAATGTTATTCTGCTTTCTACAAGGTCTTAGAGCTACCTTACATATAGCATTAGTGTTCTCAAAGGCTAGCTGTTTAAGTATTAGCTGCCTTGCTTCTGTGTCTCCAATCAACTTATTAGATGCCTGTGTTAGTCTGGAAACAAAGTCCTGAAATAATTCATCTGGTCCCTGGTGTGGGAGGTCCTTCTGTCTATGTGTTGCTTTCATTGGTTAATAAATAAAGAAACTGCCTTGGTCTGTTGATAAGGCAGAATTTAGGTAGGTGGCGAAGATGAAACTGAACACTGGGAGGAAGAAGGGAGAAGTCAGGGAGATGGCATGAATCTGCTGCCAGAGATAGAAGTGCTGGAATTTTGCTGGTAGGCCACGACCTCATGGTGATATACAAATTAATAGAAATGGGTTAAATTAAGATGTAATAGTTTGCCAATAAGGAGTTATAGCTAATGGGCCAAGCAGTAATTTAATTAATACAATTTCTGTGAGGTTATTTCGGTTGTGGTCAGCCAGGACAAACAAGCAGCCCTTCCTGTTACAGGGCCCTGTCTTATACTGGACAACTCCTTAGTCTTTTCTTTTGATGATGGAAGTCTATTCCAGGCCTTTTTGGCCGCTGCACTAATTTGAACATACGCTGTCATATCAAAGTCTAATGGCTGATCTGCCCCTGTATAAGGTCCCTCACCTGCAAGCATTTCATATGAAATAGGAACCTGCTGAGCCCGGTTTCTCTCAGCTGTGGCCTGACATTGTTCTACAAATTTGGTTTCAACAATAGATAGTCTCCTCCTGACAGGGCAAGCTTTGGCTGTCTGCTTCCAATCCCCTGGGGGCAGAGCTTCTATTGCTATATTTTCTAATAGCATTTGGGTAAATGGGGCCATTGGGCCATACTGAGCTCAGTTTTTAATTCTTTGGGTAACATAAATAATACGGGAGTATGTATCCTAAGCAAATTCTCTTGAGCATCTCTTTGTTCTATTATGGGATACAATTGAAATCTTTGCATCTCTTCCTCTCTGTTAGTGGCATCTCTGATACAATCTTGTAAAGGAGCATTTTGTTCCATAGGTGAATCTAAACCAGTTATTACGGTAGGAAGAGAATTACTCTTCTGGCAAGAGTCCTGGATCTGCAGAGTTTCAAGTCTCTGCTATAGTGAGGTTATCAACTTTTTCAAGCCTTTTAGCTCCTTTTTTTACTTCATTATCATTTTTCTATCTTTCAGTATTGCTGGCTATTAATGAGAGAGATGAAGACTTCTCTTAATGATGCTCTAATTCATTAGGCTCTGAATGACTGTAACCACTCAGTTCTGTATCTAGCAACTCCTCTGGTGGTGCAGAGGGTATTGTCTCCCTTCTAACTGACTCAGAGGGAAGTATCTCCTGCTGTACAGGATTTTAGTCCAACTTTTTCTGTATTAGGATCCAGAAATGAAGTGTATCTACAGGGCTCCTTTCTGGTCCATAATTACAATAATGTTGTTGAATATTTATCACAACTTTTTTTCATGTCATGGCATATAAAGTCCTGCACTCAGAAACTGAGGATATAGCTGCTCTATAAATTCTAAAAATTCCTGTATCTGATGTTGCTGATCTTTTGCTCCCCTATCCTTTAATATATTTCCAATCAACTGTATGCTGTTTTATTGCTTCTTCCTTCACCCATAGTTCAATATATTTACAATATATTTTACTCCCAATTTTATTGTCCCACTTTATTGTATGCTTTTTTAAATTCTTTATTTCTGAATGCTCACTACTCACATATCCACCTGTGGTGCAATTTTCTAATGGGTTCCTCAAATTCTCCTCCATTCATCTGGTCACTTCTTCAGTGTTTTTTAGGGTTCACTGATCAGCTCCACACTGGATGCCATTATGTTGGGGTCCAACCGCAACAGAAATTATTTCTTGAAACAGAGTGGAGGCATGGGAATAATTGAAGCACAGTTCACAGGGTAGTATTAGGAGGGAGTCTCAGGGCTCATTCAAATCCTGAAGATCACCCACATTTATTATCCAAACTGCCTTTATATCAAAAGGAAAACTGAGGGGGAATTCATTAGCATTCTGTTTTCTGGGTAGCAGGTCTGAATAAGTTAGGTAACTTCCACAACTATGGCTGCTCTGTCATGTAGATGGAATTAACACCTCTTCCTCAAGCAACCTCCTAAATTACAATAGAAGGAGCAATGTGACATTAGCATTCCCTAACCCTTTGTTTAGGATGACTTCAGATTGTCTTGAAAGGCTAGGTGACCACCTTCTGTGTGACAGGTGCAAATTGTGCCCTGAAGGTTGCTCAGAATTATGGCTGCCATTCAATGTAGATATATGGACATGTATAATACTGAAAGACCCCCAAGGGATGTCTTCCTTTCGGGAGAGACCCCGTGCCCCACGGACCAGTCGAAACCACTCTTACGGATGCAAACAACAAGAGGTTTATTCGGATACACAGGTACCTGGAGCGACAAAGTCGGAAGACTCCTGCGCCGCCAGGCTGGGGCGAGGGGTTTTTATGGGAGAGCAAAAGCGCACGTACAGAAGCGAGAGGCATGGTTACGGGGATTCATTCCATTGGTCAATTCAAATAAGGCTAAGAGCATGCGCTGAGTGGCAAATTCTTGACCTTACACCTAAATATCAAGGAGGGGGTTGTCTAGGGGCTTCCTGTTTTTCTTATCTCTTCCTCCTTCCCTAGCTGGAGACCCGATGGCCGGCTGTAAATACCCTGACTCATATCCTGCCACAGGACAAAAGGCCTCCTCCCCCTTACAGCATGGGGTCTGGCTTGTTTGTTTCTAAGGACCTACATTCCAGCATCAAGGGTGGTATTCCTTTTTTTTCCTTTTCAATACAACCCCTATATAAAAAATAAAAATTTATTATACAAAGAAACATTTCAGTTACAGACATGTTCTCTTCCCCAGTTGTTTGCTGTCTTCTTTCTAACTTGACGAGCTGGACAACCCTGAATAACTTGGTTGCATTCTCTGTACCCTAATTTCCTCATCTGTATGTTTAGAATTAAGATCACCTTTTCCATCTGGAATTACAGAAAAATCTTTCTAACTTCTTGCTATATTTGTTTCTTCGTATTTTATAGAGTGATAATAAAAATGTAGTAACATAAGATTCTTTTAAATTTAAATAATATAGCATATGTAAGTGCTTACTATAGCAAATATAGTATGTGAGGGACATTTTGGTGGTGCTTGGCACATGTAGACCACTCAAAAGCATTACTTACTATTGGAAAATACTACAATAGTAAAGAAAATTTTGTGATTTTCGCTTCTAGGTAAATCACTATGGACAATAAAGATGAATATTTACTTAACTTCAGAGGCTATAACTTTGAAAGAACTTTAGTTAAAATGAACATAGTGGAAAACATGGATGATCAGGAAATTAGAGATGATGATGTCTTCATAATTACATATCCAAAATCTGGTGAGTGACATAAATAGGTCATATGACATTCGTCTTTGTTTTTGTTTGTTTTGTTTTGTTTATTTTGTGTTGTAAGGAAACATTTGTTTGTTCCAGTTGCCCAGAACCAAAATAATCACACAGAAACTTTATTAATTAAATCACTGCTTGGTTCATTAGCTCTAGCTTCTTATTGGCTAACCCTTACATCTTAATTAAACCCATTTCTATTCATCTGTATGTCACCACAAGGTCATGGCCTACCAGCAAATTTTCAGCACATCTATCTCTGGCAGAGTGGCTATGGCTTATCCTATACACCACCATTCTTTCTACTAGCATTCAGTCCAGTCCTCCCTACCTACCTAAGTTTTGCCCTATTAACAGGCCAAGGCAGTTTCTTTATTCATTAATGGTAACACGGCACACATAGGGGACGCTAACATCAACTCTTTTTTTGTTTTTTCAAGATAGGGTTTCTCTGTCACTTTGGAACCTGTCCTGGACCTAGTTCTTGTAGACCAGGCTGGCCTTGAACTCACAGAGATCCATCAACCTCTTCATTCCAATTGCAGGGATTAACGGTGTATGAACTGCCTGGTATTTTGGTTTGATAATAGGTGTATAAATATTCTCCATTCCACACACTGACATTTCAACAATAATACAAGAATTATCTGGAATCTCATTACCAATCACCAGATCGTTGTAAGTGAGAAAGGGACAGAGTTGTAGAGTTCAGCCTTACCAACTTGAGTGTTCTATACAGACAATGGGGAATGAAATGCTGGCACATCCAAGCATGCCTGGGGTGCTAAAGAAAAAGAGAGCTCCAAATTATTTGTAAAATGGATACATTACTCTTGGTATTCAATATTAAGACCTATTTCAGGATTGAAAACTGGATTGTTATTTGTTCTTACAGGTACCGTTTGGACACAGCAAATCCTCAGCCTGATTTATTTTGAGGGCCACCGGAACAACACTGAAAATATCCAAACAATAGACAGAGCGCCATTCTTTGAGTACAATAATCATAATGTGGACTTTACCAAAATGCCATCGCCTCGAATCTTTTCTTCCCATCTCCCATATTATTTAGTGCCAAAAGTTTTCAAGAACAAAAAAGTCAAAGTATGTCATAGAGCTTATTGACTTACCATACCCATGAAATGCCTTCTCTAATGTTTTCTTCAATGTTTTGCCACTGTGGTGCAGGTGCTATGAACATTCTTGAGTGTGTCTCTTGGTACTCTCACAGCAGCTTCCCTAGAACCCACACCCATGAATAGAACTGCGCAGCCACAGTGACTAGAGTACTCACTTACAGAGGTGGTGCAGTATTTCTGAAGAAAGTGTATTTGTCATTTCTTGCAGAAATGTGCAATAGATGAATTCTTAGTGTTCCCCTAGTAACTTGACATATCAGAATTTTAGATGCTTATCAACATGGCATCTAGGAAGAGGTGCCTCAAATGTATCTTAATTTGCATCCTCATCTTTATAATGGAAGTAACCATGTTGGATGTTTATTGGCCATCATTATTTTTGTTTGTGTAGAAAAGGTCTATCATTAGCCCAATATTTTACAACATTCTTCTGGTCAGCATGATTTCTATCACTTCTGGATAAATCTATTTTATCTCATCCCTATTGCTTGTGTTTTCATCAACAACATTCTTAATTTTAGTTTTAAAAATGTATTTTTCTTTTTATTGTTATTTTTCATATATTTTATTCAAAATTAATTTTCATCTTATGTACCAACACCAGTTCCCCCTCTAATCTTTTCTTCCATCCCCCACCTCCCCTCTTCCCATTTCCCATCCATTTCTCAGAGGGGGAAAGGCCTTCCTTCAGAAATCAACAAGGTCTGGAATACTAACTTGAGGCCAGAGCAAGCCCCTACCCCTAATATCAAGCCTGAGTAAGGTATCCCACTATAGGTAACTGACTCTGAAAAGCAGATTCATGCACCTGGGATGGGTCCTAGTGTGACTGCCAGGGTCCCCTCCAACAGATAAAACATAATTGTCACCCACATTTAGAGGGTCTAGTTCAGTCCCATGCAGGTTCCCCACCTGTCAGGCTATAGTCTCTGAGCTCCCACTGGCTCAGGTCATCTGTCTCTCTGGGCTTCCCCATCATGCTCTTGACCTCCTTTGTTATTTTGATCCATCCTCCCTCTCTTCATATGAACTCCAGGAGCTCAGCTGAGTGCTGGACTCTGGGTCAATGCATCTGCTTCCATCAGTTACTGAATGTAGGATCTATGATGACAATTAGGGTAGTCATTAATCTGAAAAAACAGGAAGGCCCTTTCAGACACCCTCTCCACTATTACTAGCAGTCTGAGATGGAGTCGTCACTGTGTATTCCTGAGAATTTTTCTAGTACCAGATTTTTTCTCCCTAATTTCCTCTATCAAGATATCTTCCTCATTGTTCTCACCTAACTCGGTCTTATTGAATCATCATGTTCTTATCCCCCAACTCCTCCCTTCTACCCTCCTCCCAGTTTACCCAGGAAGGAGATCTTAATACTTTCTTCATGGGTCCCTCCATGTGTGTCCCTCTTAGGGTTCCCCCTTTTACCTAGCTTCTCTGGGATTGTAGATAGTAGCTTGGTTATTCTTTGATTTTATCTAATATCCACTTAAGAGTGACTATATACCATATCTGTGTTTCTGGACCTAGGATACCTCACTAAGGATGATTTTTATCTAGTTCCATCCATTTGCCTGTAAATTTAAAGATGTCATTATTTTTCTTTTTACCACTGAGTAATACTCCATTGTGAAAATGTAACATAATTTCTTTATCCATTCTTCAACTGATGGACATCTAAGTTGTTTCCAGGTTCTGACTCTTATGAATAATGCTGCTTTGAACAAAGCTGCAAATGCCATTGTGGTATGATTGTGCATCCTTTGGGTATATGCCCAAGAGTACTATTACCGGGTGTTGAGGTAGATAGATTCCAAACTTTCTGAGAAACTGCCATACTGATTTCCAAAGTGACTGTACAAGTTTTCACTCCCTTCAGCAACAGAGGAGCGTTTGTCTTACTGCACATCATCTCTAGCATAATGTGGAGTCTTCAGTGTTTATGATCTTAACCATTCTGATAGGTGTAATATGGATCTCTGAGTCGTTTTGCTTTGCATTTTCCTGATGACTAAGCATGTTGAGCAAATCCTTAAATGTCTTCTGGAGATTTGAGTTTTTTTCTGTTGAGAATTCTATTTAAATCTGTATCCCATTTTTAATTGGAATGTTTGATATTTTGGTGTCTAGTTTCTTGAGTTCTTAATATTTTTTGGAGATCATCCATCAGATGTGGAATTGGTGATCTTTTCCTATTCTGTAGGCTGCTGTTTTGTCTTACAGAAGACTTTCAGTATCAGTAGGTCCCATTTAAGGATTGTTGTTCTCAGAAACTGTGCTACTGGTGTTATATTTAGAAAGTGGTCTCTTGTGCCATTGGGTTCAAGGCTATTTCTTACATTCTCTTCTATCAGGTTCAATGTAACTGGATTTGGTCTTTCATTCACTTGGACTTGAGTTTTGTACATGTTATAGATATGGGTCTATTTGCATTCTTCTACATGTTGGCATCAACCATTTATTGATGATACCTTCTTTTTTTCCATTGTAAAGTTTTGGCTTCTTTGTCAAAAACCAAATGTTCATAGGTGTGTGGAATAGTATCAGAGTCTTCAATTTGATTCCATTGATTGACATGTCTGTTTTTATGCCAATATCATGCAGTTTCTAATACTGTATTTCTATAGTAGAGCCTGAAGTCAGGGATGGTGATGCATCCAGAAGTTCCTTTAGTATACAGCGTTGTTTAGGCTGAGATTTTTGCTTTTTCATATGAAGGTGAGCACTGCTCTTTCAAGCTCTGTGGAGAATTGTGTTGGGATTTTGATGGGGATTGCATTGAATCTGTAATGCTTTTGCTAATACTGTCATTTTTTACTATGTTAATCCTAAGTAACCAACATCATGGGGTTTTTTGATTTTCCATTTTCTAATATCTTCTTCAATTTCTTTTTAAAAACTTATTAAAGTTCTTGTCATATAGCTCTTTCACTTCCTTGGTTACCCCAAGATATTTCAT